TCTCCTGCTTGTCTGGATGCGACATAGAAGGGAGTGTGCATGGATCTGTGTAGAAGATATCCTAGTAAAATTTACATTTGCTGCTTGACACACTTTGACCTCTGGCCCTGCTTACCTTTGGCATGTGGCCCTCAGAAGGTAGCCCAGAAATGAGTGTGGCTCTTGGCTTGAAAAAGATTCATCATAACTTGCTGCAGGGGGTGGGAGTATAAAACATTTGGCAATCCCAACAGTCAACCAGCCCCCAGATTTCCTGAAAGGAAGAAGAGGGGAAACCAGTGGGCAATTTAACGTAATGGTAGGAGATGGGTGATTACAAAAGTTTATTTAGCAGAGGAAGGGGTGGAAGCAAGATGATGATTCTGATAATCATGCAGTTTAAGGCAGGTTCCTAAGCAACAAAAGGGGAGGGGATGGAGTCCAACATTTCAGTCATCCATACAGTTGAGTCTCTGCTGCTGATGACCCCACTGCCATGGGATGGGATGCAGCTGTTTGTCTCAGGTCTCGCCAACACTTCCAATTGTGCCATGCTTGGAAAGCAGCTGTACGAGAAGTTTTCCACTTGACTCGCTCCTTTCTAAAGCTGGAGGCAGCTCCTGTCCTTCTTGGGCAGCTGTTAAGAATCCCAGATTTCTGGCAGGGCCCATTGACATTAGTCAATGCCCTGCCCTGAGGTCCCCCTTGCTTAAATATATTTTGTGAGCACCACATTGGCAGCCCCTGAACTTTGACCAGAAGAGATTCCTATTTTTTCCCCGCAGTGAGATATATACTGTCTCCAAAAATGGAGATATGAATTCTCTGTGTGTCTTTGTGGAATGGGCCAGGGCAGGCTTTTCCCCCAGGTGGAACTCACCAGAACTCAGTCCTAGAACCTCTCAGATGGTGCCGTTGCCATTATAAGAGAGCAAGGGGGGTGTTCGTGGTGCATAGCTGTCAACTTTTCCCTTTGTTTAAGGGAAATTCCCTTATTCCGAATAGGATTCCTCGCAAGAAAAGGGGAAAGTTGACAGCTATGTCGTGGAAGGTTCCAGCACCTCTTTTTCAAGAAAAATAGCCCTGGGAAGGAGAATCGCACTTGTAAGATGGAATTTCTATTTAGCTGTCCTGATAAATAGAAATGAAGAGGTAGTATTGCATATCATACCCAGAACAACAAAAATCAGGAGTATAGCCACTCCATCCCTACCTATGACTTTCCCCCAGGTAACTGTGCATGCATGTCACACACCAAAATAAGTCAGATACTATTTTGCAAAATGGGTCTGAAGATTTTGTGGATATATGCTTGTTACCTTGATAATGATACTAATTTTAACATATTCAGGTATAAACTGAGTATAAATGACAAGTGAATAAGGTGATATTTGAAAGGTCAAGCTCTGCAAAGTTGCCAAAGAGGAGAAGCAAGTCCCAGTGACTGATGGCCATCTCAAAGAACCAGGACTTTGTTTTAAGAAACAATATTCCCTGGAAGGAGAAATGCCACGTTGCAGGACCACATTGTGTCCTTTTGCCTAGAGACAGTGAGACAAGGCCACAGATGATTATCTTTAATTTGTGTAGCCGGAGGATGGGTTCATAATTCAAAAGATATACAATGCACAGTACCAGTCTGCTTGTCACAGACAAGATGGAATGCAGCTGTTTATATCAGGTCTCATCCAATCATATTTAACTTTGTTTCCATAGAGGCTTCCCACAAATGCTCCAAATTCTGCCACCACATTTCCTATAAGGTGTATAAGGGTTCTTGTCCCCCTCCCCCACTTAAGAAATAGGCATCTCTTTAACTTCTCCCCTTTTTCTCCCTTTCCCTTTCCCTCCCAGTAGATTCTTAGACCCCATCATGCTGGTCTCTAGCTGCCTGCTGGTTTGTCTGGCCATCCTTATTGGGGTCCTACTGGTGCGGTCCTGTGAAGTCTTGGAATGCTTTTCCAAACAAGCACATTGATCCCACTTAATATTTTCTGCAGACATCAAGGGTCCCGCTGAGCAGAACGAAAATTGCCACCCCAGATGATTCTGAATGGCTGGAATGTGCCCTTAAACTCTGATCATGTCTGCTGCTTCTCTGGAAGGAAGATAGGGTGTTTGTATGACTGGATGAATCCCAAGCCGGAATTAAGATTGCCAGAAGAAATATCAGCAACCTTTGATGGCAGAAAGTGAGGAGGAATTAAAGAACCTCTTAATGAGGGTGAAAGAGGAGAGCGCAAAATATGGTCTAAGCTCAGCATAAAAAAACCAGCAAAGATCATGGCCACTGGTCCCATCACCTCCTGGCAAATAGAAGGGGAAGAAATGGAGGCAGTGAGAGATTTTACTTTCTTGGGCTCCATGATCACTGCAGATGGTGACAGCAGTCACAAAATTAAAAGAAGCCTGCTTATTGAGAGAAAAGCAATGACAAACCTAGACAGCATCTTAAAAAGTCGAGACATCACCTTGCCAACAAAGGTCCGTATAGTTAAAGCTATGGTTTTCCCCAGTAGTGATGTATGGAAGTGAGAGCTGGACCATAAAGAAGGCTGATAGCCAAAGAATTGATGCTTTTGAATTATGGTGCTGGAGGAGACTCTTGAAAGTCCCATGGACTGCCAGAAGATCAAACCTATCCATTCTTAAGGAAATCAGCCCTGAGTGCTCACTGGAAGGACAGATCCTGAAGCTGAGGCTTCAATACTTTGGCCACCTCAGGAGAAGAGAAGTCTCCCTAGAAAATACCCTGATGTTGGGAAAGATGGAGGGCACAAGGAGAAGGGGACGACAGACGACAAGATGGTTGGACAGTGTTCCCAAAGCTACAAACATGAGTCTGACCAAACTGCGGGAGGCAGTGGAAGACAGGAGTGCCTGGCGTGCTCTGGTCCATGGGGTCACGAAGAGTCGCACACAACTAAACGACTAAACAACAACAATGAGTGTGTAGAAAATAACCTACAACACAAAGATAAGATTTTTATTTGTTGCTATGCCCACTGCTGGCAAGGAGCCCCTGGAAGCTTGAACAGAAGGAACGGTGGCCCCCTAGGCTGATAAAACACCCCCCCCTCCTGGTCTAAAATGTAAATACCCCCCACTTCCAGTCTTGACTTTATTGTCTCTGATGCGGCATGCAAAAATAAAAATAAAAATGTCAGTCCATTTGTTTTCATAAATAGAGAAATTGGTTTTAAAAACCTGGTTTTGTGAATGAAATGAACCAAGCACAGCACTTATTTGTGGAAATGCAACTGTTCATAATTGTATAATGATCAACATTCTTGATGATTCCCCAACCAACACAGAATTCAATCCTTGCTTTCTGCTGCCACCTAGTGACAAAGAAACGTTAGAGGCACCCTGTTCATTTTCTTGCTTTCTACGGCTTCTTCATCTCTGTGCGAGAGCAAGCATCGTTGCTATACCAGGATGGCTTCAGGGAGACATTACCAAACTCTCATCTTGCTTATCTTACTGAGATACCAGAACTTTAAAGTAAAGATTACTTTAAAACTGGAAACTGGGGCTTTCTCCTTCTCCATGCCTCTTACCCAGCTCAAAATTCATTTTCTTCCACTCACAATCCTAATTTAATCCCACCGCTTTTCTCTGTCTCTCCTCATGCCTACAAAGGACAGTAGTTCAGAGGCAGAGCATGTGTCTTCCATGCAGAAGGTTCTGGGTTCAATTCCTGGCATCTCCAGTTAGGACTGGGAAAGACAACACATCAGTGGAAATGTTGATGTCTGTTGCCTTTGTGTTCTTTTGGCTAAAGGCAGAACAGAAAAACACAATGGTCCCCAGTAAAGGTAAAGGTAAAGGTACCCCTGCCCGTACGGGCCAGTCTTGACAGACTCTGGGGTTGTGCACCCATCTCACTCAAGAGGCCGGGGGCCAGCGCTGTCCGGAGACACTTCCGGGTCACATGGCCAGCGTGACAAAGCTGCATCTGGCGAGCCAGCGCAGCACACGGAAACACCGTTTACCTTCCCGCCAGTAAGCGGTCCCTATTTATCTACTTGCACCTGGGGGTGCTTTCGAACTGCTAGGTTGGCAGGCGCTGGGACCGAGCAGCGGGAGCGCACCCCGCCGCGGGGATTTGAACCGCCGACCTTTCGATCGGCAAGCCCTAGGCGCTGAGGCTTTTACCAACAGCGCCACCCGCGTCCCATAATGGTCCCCAGTAGGGGTTCCCAAATGGTGGTCCTTGATTGGTGAGCTTCATTCAGGTGGTCTGCAAATGTAGGCACCATCATTTGAGCAAAGGATAATAATGGCCCTTTAAAACCTCCCAGCAACAACGACAATAAAAAACCTTCCAAGGCTCTGTTGCTTCAGGTTTCTCATTTGGCAGGCTTTACTGACATTGCTGTTATCTACTCCCCAAGAACTATATGCCCAATTTCCAAAGAAATTCACACCTGAAAAACAACTGCAAAGGGTTCTGAGTACAAGCACTTCTTAAAAAATACTTAAAACATGAACATAATGTTGCTGTGCAGTCATTGGCAGCCCATATAATGGTCTCAATGAGGGCAGAAACCAAGACTACTACAAGGATGACTATACAACTACTAATTTTGTTTATACCCTGCCCATCTTGCTGGGTTTCCCGGCACACCTTCCAGGACATTCCTTGGGAACATTATCCAGCACTAAGGGCCCAGGAATGGTATAAAAGCAAGTGACTGGGAGTGCTGGAAATTTGAGGTGGCCAAGCGACCAGCCCAGCCCAGCCCAGCCCAGTCCAAGCTAAAACCAGGGGTTGTTCACCTCTCAAGGCCTCTTAAAGGGGTTGCCCTTTAGCTGTCTACCCAGCAGTTTCCACCAAGTTCTGACAAAGAACCAGGGTGATCTAGTAAAACTCCTGCTACTCACTGAAAGAATAGCAAAAAAACCTTGCCTCATGGGTGGGGTGGCCGTGCTTGTAAGTATGGATGGACAAAGCAGAACAGCAATGCAATAAGGAAAATATGCATGGAAGAGAATTTATTAAGATGATGCTCTGCTGCAGGTCCAAGAAAATTTCAAAGGGAAGGGGGAAATTGAAGAGGCATCTCTATAGCAATGGCTATTTTGAAAGTGATGAGAGAGAGCAGAAATACATATAATGTCAAGGCAGCTTCCCAGCCAACACAGTGGAGAAGGGAAGTCTCCTTTAGAGTTATTGCTTGCAGATGAAGGCGTATGTGTTGTTGCATTTTACATCATTCCACTTCTTAAAACCTGAAATTCAAAACAAAAATTATAATTCAAGAAATAAGGGAAGTTACTTCTTATTGCCTATTATTCCTTTCCCCAATGTGTAGGGGGAATAAAATGGATTCAGACTTTAATAATAGTGAGGGAACCACCAGAAGGCCCTCAGAGCTGGACCTCTGTGCCCAGGTTGAACGATGGGGGTGGAGACACTCCTTCAGGTATGCTGGGCCGAGGCCATTGAGGGCTTTCAAGATCAGCACCAACACTTTGAATTGTGCTCGGAAACACCCTGGGAGCCAATGTAGGTCTTTCAGGACCAGTGTTATATGGTCTCTGCAGCCACTCCCAGTCACCAGTCTAACTGCCGCATTCTGGATTAGTTGTAGTTTCTGGCTCACCTTCAAAGGTAGCCCCACACAGAGCGCATTGCAGTAGTCGAAGCAGGAGACAACTAGAGCATGCACCACTCTGGCGAGACAGTCTGCAGGCAGGTAGGGTCTCAGCCTGCGTACCAGATGGAGCTGGTAGGCAGCTGCCCTGAACGCAGAATTGGCCTGTGCCTCCACGGACAGCTGTGAGTCTAAAATGAGTCCCAGGTTGCACATCTGGTCCTTCAGGTGCACAGTTACCCCATTCAGAACCAGAGAGTCCTCCACACCTGCCATCCCCCTGTCCCCCCAAAACAGTACTTCTGTCTTGTCAGGATTCAGCCTCAATCTGTTAGCTGCCATCCATCCTCCAACTGCCTCCAGACACTCACACAGGACCTTCACCGCCTTCACTGGTTCTGATTTGAAAGGGAGGTAGAGCTGGGTATCATCCGCATACTGATGAACACCCAGCCCAAACCCCCTGATGATCTCTCCCAGCGGCTGCATGTAGATGTTGAAAAGCATGGGGGAGAGGACAGAACCCTGAGGCACCCCACAAGTGAGAGCCCAGGGGTCTGAACACTCACCCCCCCACTTTCTGAACATGGCCCAGGAGGAAGGAGCAGAACCACTATATAACAGTGCCCCCAGCTCCTAGCGCCTCTAGACAGTCCAGAAGGTTGCCATGGTTGATGGTATCAAAGGCCGCTGAGGGATCCAGCAGAACTAGGAAACAGCTTTCACCTTTGTCCCTAGTCCACCAGAGATCATTGACCAACGTGACCAAGGCAGTTTCAGTCCCATGATGAGGCTTGAATCCCAATTGGAAGGGATCCAAATGGTCCGCATCCTCCAGGCGTGCTTGGAGTTGTTCAGCAACCACCTGCTCAGTCACTTTGCCCAAGAATGGAAGATTTGAGACTGGGTGATAGTTGTCCATATTGGCCATGTCCAAAGATGTTTTTAAAAGATGCGATTTAATAAATGCCTCTTTCAGCGGTTCCGGGAAAGCTTGCTCACAGAGGGAAGCATTCACTATCCCCCGGAGCCCATCACCCTGCCCTTCCCGGCTCACTTTTATGAGCCAGGATGGCCATGATCGAGGAGACAGGTGGTCAGTTTCACTCATCCAAGCAGCCTGTCCACATCCTCAGAGGTAACAGATTGGAACTGATCCCATGCAACTGGAATAGACAGAACTCTAGCACTCTCCTGCCCCAGCCCTGCTCCCATGATGGTGTCTACCTCTTTCCGAATCTGAGCGGCTTTGCCTGCAAAAAAGTTGCAAAATCATTGCAGGAGATCTTGGGGTCCTTACCAGGCCCCAATGGTGAAGGTGGTTCTGTTAAGATTGTGAACCACCTGAAAAAGTCTCCTGCTGCTGTTTTCTGCAGATGCAATAGAGGCAGTGAAGAAGGACCTCTTCACCATCGCTATTGCCACTTGGTAGGCTTGACATTGAGCTCTAACCCGTTTCTGGTCCAATTTCCACCACTGGCGCTATTGCCACCTCAGTGATTGTTTCATCACCCTCAGCTCTGGATAAAACCATGAGGCTGCCAGGCTCCATGCAGTTGGAGAGAGTGCTTCGGAGCCAGACAGTCGATAGCTCTGGTTAACTCCGCATTCCAGTGGGCCACCGGGGAATCAGCTGAAAGGCCATCAACATGGGATAAAACATTCCCTACTTTGGCCACCTCATGAGAAGAGAAGACTCCCTGAAAAAGACCCTCATGTTGGGAAAGATGGAGGGCACAAGGAGAAGGGGATGACAGAGGACGAGATGGTTGGACAGTGTTCTTGAAGCTACCAGCATGAATTTGACCAAACTATGGGAGGCAGTGGAAGACAGGAGTGGGAGGCAGTGGAAGACAACAACACCACTCTCTGCAAACCATTTGAATCCATTAAGTGGGGTGGAGGCGGATCCAAATCGGTCCCACCTCCCTGCAGAGGGGAAGGGTCACGACACCAGGAAGTGATCTGACCATGGCACTTCTTTCTTTTTGCTTTCTTTTTGCTTTTTCTTAGTGTCATATCACCCACATCCATAGAGGTGAACTCCAGGTCTAAGACATGTCTGCGACTATGAGTTGGGCCAAATTCATTCAGGGACAGCCTCATGGAGACCATGCTTTCCACGAAGTCCCAAGCAGCCCATTATAAGGTTGTGTCAGCATGGATGTTAAAATCCCCTAGGACAACCAAACTAGGTGTCTCCAGGAGAACATCTGCCATGACCTGAAGCAGCTCGGCCAGGGAATCCTTGGTACAGTGGGGAGGTCGGTACACCAAAAGGAATCCTGTTGTCCAACTTTCCGAACACACGCTCAGAAAACTGGGTCTTCCCAATAGGACACCTGGTGCAAGCTAATGAGTTCCTAAAACTCACTGCAACCTCGCCTCCCTGCCCATATGACCTGGGTTGCTGTGTGTAAGAGAAACCTGGTGGACAAGCAGTGACAAGGAGAGGCCATTTGCTTCATCCAACCAAGTCTCTGTTACACATGCCAGGTCAAGTCCTCCATCCATGGATGGCAGTGGTCTTATGAATCATTCACCTGGCATTGCACAGCAGCACCTTCAGGTCATGTGGGTCTCCCTTGTTTATTCCAGTATCCTTCCGGTCAAGACCAGACCCAGAGGCAGGGATAGTCTTCAAACAATGACTAAACCTGCCTCCTCAGTAATGACATGGTCTGGTCTTAGCGTAACTCCTCCTCCTACCCATGATCACTGAGATTGGGTGTCCCAGTGCAGCCCCACCTGTGGAACCTGCCTCAGTCATTCTATTGGCTGGGGCCCACTCCCAGGCAGCCCTGACCTTCTCTCCTTCAGAACAGAATACAAACTATACAATGAACCAATAAAACAGTAGAAGCTAACAACAACAACAACAACCAAATTACAATTATACTAAAATTAAACTAATCCCCAGCCCCAACTAAATCATAGAATCATAGAATCATAGAATCATAGAGTTGGAAGAGACCACAAGGGCCATCGAGTCCAACCCCCTGCCAAGCAGGAAACACCATCAGAGCACTCCTGACATATGGTTGTCAAGCCTCTGCTTAAAGACCTCCAAAGAAGGAGACTCCACCACACTCCTTGGCAGCAAATTCCACTGTCTTCCTAATGTTTAGGTGGAATCTTCTTTCTTGTAGTTTGGATCCATTGCTCCGTGTCCGCTTCTCTGGAGCAGCAGAAAACAACCTTTCTCCCTCCTCTATGTGACATCCTTTTATATATTTGAACATCCTTTTATATATTTGAACATGGCTATCATATCACCCCTTAATCTCCTCTTCTAAATGTTTATCCCACCCCCAACAGAGAAAAACAAAACAAAAAACCAAAATTTAAAATGCCACAGATTAAAAACCTATTTTAAAGCATTTAAAAACATTTTCCACAGTTTGTTCCAGTGAGTCTGGCCTTTTCAGGACTCACAACAGGGCTGTGACCCAGAACTAACCAAACATATGAAGGTCACTCACTGATCACCTGGCTTCAAAGTCTTAAATGTTTTATCATGCTATTAATATTCTTTTGGGAGACACCCAGATAGAGAATGAATGAATATTATTCTTAGTATTATTAAATGCTGGTTGAGCCTAATCATTTTGTTAAGAAACATGATAGAGTATAAGATGGCATAACCCAGATCTTACTTTGGCAACCACTGTTTTCTGAACAAAATATGTGATCACATGCAACCGAAGAATGAAGGCTGACTGCAGAAAAAGATTCTGCTTCATGGTATGATTGGAAGTCTCCCTAAAGGATCAATACGTAGGACCACTTCTGGTCAGATCTCCAGAGATATTGACTTGTGAACCTTAGTACAGAGAAGCACCAGGCTGAGAGTGTATCCAATCAACTAATACCCAGAGTAAACCTTTTCAAATGAATGGACCATCAGTAGCAATGACTAACCAGAGTATTTTGAGTTTGATTTTTCTGATTTTTAAAATCAGATACTACCCTTTGAAATACTTGAAACTGATGGAGTGATAGGCATTCTTTTAGTCAGTCCCTACAAATTGCTTGCTTACCTGTCTCCTTTAGCAGATGCACACAATATTCTTCATTGTTGTAGTTGTCTGGGCGATTAAAATCCCAGCCTTTGTAATTGTAGATCTCGTCATCCGACCACTTCCAATGCCCTTTCTGCAGCAATATGATGGAACAGATCATACATTCATTTGATACGAGGAGGCCAATGCAAAGGTCACATGGAGAGTTGACCAGTTATGAAGCAATTGTCAGTTATGATGGAGTTACAGTCGTACCTTGGTTCTCTAGCGGAATCCTTTCTGGAAGTCCATTCGACTTCCAAAAACATTTGAAAACCAAGGCATGACTTCCCATAGGCTGCAGGAGCTTCCTGCACTCAATCAGAAGCCACATCAGACCTTCAGGTTCCAAAGAACATTTGCAAACCGAAAAACTCACTTCTAGGTTTCCGGCGTTCGGAAGCCAAAACATTCGAGTGACAAGGCATTTGAGAACCAAGGTATGACTGTATTTGTAAGAAAAACTCTGGGACCTAATTTGAATAGTAGAGTGCTTGGTATCTGGTGGGTGGGGCTTGTGTGTTTTGCTCCGGAATCAGCCCCTCCCTTCAGTATCTGTGTTCCGTTAAGAATATCAGTTAAGAGGGACCAACTGCATCTTCTTGACTCAGACTTGTCTCATGTTGTTGTATTTAGTTTCTCTTATTTTGTATTTTTGTTACAGTTTTCTTTGTTATTCAAGCTTAGTTTACATTTATGTGAGCCACTTATTTTCCTCAAAGAAAAAGAAACTCTGCTGGAGAATGGCGGAATATCCTAAACTTGGGTGAGTGAGGGGATATTATTCCCAGTTTGCCAGGAGGATTGAATATGTTAATCATCTCCCCACTTCCACAGCAATATTAGAGGAGGATTCTATTAGAAAATTGTGGAAAAGTCACATATTGGAGTCATCTGGGGACACGATTCAGGTAAGGATGGAATGGTGATGCTAAGAAGCCGTTACTCAGTGACAATGGCCTGAAATTGAGAAAGTAAAGGCAACTCACCTCAGTGGGATCATGCAGCCCAATCCAAACCTCACTTTCCTTTTTCTGGTTTGCAGAGATGTAATTGGCCACCACAACTGACTCTTTCTCATTGAGGATGGAGGCAAGACGGGTCCCACAGCCAAAGCTCACGCACTCATTCTGAGAATAGCCAAGCAAGTAAATAAGCTCCACCACTATTGCTAACACACACACACACACACACACACACACACACACACAAAGACTGTTTCCCACAAAGCTTTCCCAGAGTGGTTTACAACTTGTCAAATAAGTGATAACAATTATTTAAAAATCATAAAACACCAGTGGTGGAGAGTTGGAAGTTTTTCAAATGGGAACTAAAGCAGCTGAGGAAGGAAGAGAGAAAAAGGGGTGAAGAAAATGCTGTGAGTGGAGCCGGGCCCCTTTCTCCATCCTCTGGACCTGCTGGGAAACTAAAGAAACCTGCTGGACCTGCTGCACACGAGTGCAATTAAAGGTGCTTAAAGCACTCAATCTTGGTGCAAGAAAACCACCTTGAAGCACATACACAAAAACTGGGATGAATGCAGGAAGAATGCTCATTGTCATGATTTGGCTGCACTCTTTTCAGAAGCGGGTGGCGCTGTGGGTTAACCCACAGAGCCTAGGACTTGCCGATCAGAAGGTCAGCGGTTTGAATCCCCGCAACGGGGTGAGCTCCTGTTGCTTGGTCCCTGCTCCTGCCAACCTAGCAGTTCGAAAGCCCGTCAAAGTGCAAGTAGATAAGTAAGGACTGCTCCGGCGGGAAGGTAAATGGCATTTCCGTGCGCTGCTCTGGTTCGCCAGAAGCGCTTAGTGATGCTGGCCACATGACCTGGAGGCTGTCTGCAGACGAACGCCGGCTCCCTCGGCCTATAGAGTGAGATGAGCGCGCAACCCCAGAGTCGGTCACGACTGGACCTAATGGTCAGGGGTCCCTTTACCTTTATGCAGGCATGCAGAATGTTGACCTGTGTTTTAATCTGGTTTTGTAGCTCATCCTTGAATTTAACTATTATCTTAATGTTTGAAATAGTTGTTCTTAACTGTATATAGCTGGGTGATGTCAGGTTTTCAACACCATGATGTATCACCAGCCAAACATCACAATCTGTCGATACACCATGATGTTGAAACAACAATCTGTATTGGCCCCAGCCCTCAAGGCATGGGGTGAAACGGCCACAGCTCTCATTGCAAGAGATGAGGCACTTTCATCCCAATACCCTGCAGAGCTGAGGATGACACAGCTTGTTTGCGGTTCTTGGCTTGGGGGTGGGAAGGCTCCACTCCCCCCCCCAGCTGAGTGAGCCCTGAGGTCCCTCCTGCTCACATGCAAGCTGGAGGGACAAAGGGGCAGAGATATCTCACATCTTTTCACTTGTGAGATGGTACCTTCTTGCCAGGCCATCTCTTCTGACTGTTAATTAAGCTTTCTTGGCTCCAGTGGAAACAGGTTAATTGAACACAATGGGTGAGCAACTCTCTTTTGATTATACCAAGATGCTGGCCAGGTATTGTCTCCCAACAGCTCACACTGATAGCCCTCCTCACAAAAATGTCACCTGAAACCCATGACAGCACCTGATGTGACAGCTTGGTTGGTGAGAAACAGCTTCTTACCTCAGCTTCAGACCAAGTTTTCTGAGAGTCAAAATATGCATAGCAGCTGCCCTGGGCTTTCAGCCAATTCCTGGGACAGGATCTGGCCTTTACTGTATGGAGAGAGGAGTAAAAGAAGAAAAAGATGGGGGAGGGGGACAAAAGCTGTTAGAATGCAATTTTCAATGTGGAATCGTACTTCACCTACAAATTTGCACAGATAATTTTAAGATTAATGAATGCAGACCTAATTTAAACATTCCTGCTTCCATTGGTGACTGGTACCCCATGGCACCGATAGGAAATTGGGACAGAAAGCAAGGAGGCAAACAGTAAGTGGATTCAGAGTCAATGACAGGCAGTGGCACTCCCTGACTGGTTGTAAATATGAATATGAGGAGTGGTTCAGAGCAGACTGAGGTTGGTAGGGCAGTTCCCTATTCACCCTAATGGACCTGCTTCCATTGCCTGGTTATTTATTCCAACAGCCTTAGCTGGGTTACCATCACCTGGAAATCTGACAAGTAGTTTTGTTTTTATAAATGCTTAACCCCAATTAAAATTTCTGGCGAATTCCCAGATAATTGTTAAAGCACTCACCTCCTGGGAATGAATAGGAGACCAGGAAACCAAAAAGGCAAAGGTAGGTGACAACCCCCATCTTCTGGTTGACCTTCAGTGGAAGGAAATGTGCAGCAAATTAAAAACTTATCCTTACTTATTGGCATTGTCAATGTGGTGATAGCAGGAAGAAGTAAATCGGTATTTTCTGTTCTTAAAATCATAAATGGGAAGATTAGAGAAAGAAGAGAGAACCCAAAACTTAAAGTTGGCGATTGCTGAAGTATCATGGAGTCAAATAAGGTTCGTGTGCAGAGGCACCCAGTGCTGACCATGTTCCATCTTCTGGTTGACCTTTTATGGAAGGTCAAAACCTATCCCCACTGGTTGCCATTTCGCCCATGTGGTGATGACAGGAAGAAATAAAATAGTATTTTATACTCTTAACATCACAATTCTCCTTCATGTGAATTTCTAAAAAATGAGAAGAGAAGGAAAAGAATGGAGAAAAATGAGAAGGTTAGGGAAAGAAGGGAGAACCTAAAGAGTTTGCCATTGTTGAGGAATCACAGATCCTGGATTCTGGACCAGTGGAGGCTGGTGTCCATTGGGACTGGTAGGATTTGTAGGGCAGAAGGCAGTAAAACCAATGGTAAGTGGAGGCAGAGTCAATGACAGGCAGAGCCAAGCAATTCTGGTTTGTTCTCTTTCCCCTCCAGGGACAACAGGTAGAAGGAAGGGACAGATGTAAGAAAGAACACACAACACTGGGACTTTCTGAGGGCAGGTGGAGCTTTGTGGGGCTGTGCCCCATTCGTCCTAGCATACCTGCCTCCACTGTTTCTAGATCAGGGATGCTAACTTGAATAAAATATTGAGGCAAGTAAGCCCCGCTCCCATAATTGATCACAAGATGCAGCACACAGACACCATTTGAATGGCAGGGCCCATCAACTGGGGGAGGGCTGGCCCCTTCAAATATTTTATGGGGAGTGAAGGGGCCTCAGCTCCTAGCAGTTGGCTCCAATGTTCTAGACTAAAGCAGTATTAACATTTATGGAAAGCCTTTTAGTTGTTAATCTGTTGCTTTTGTCCCTCTTTTGTTTTATGGGAAGAACAATACAGTGGTACCTCGGGTTAAGTACTTAATTCGTTCCGGAGGTCTGTTCTTAACCTGAAACCGTTCTTAACCTGAAGCACCACTTTAGCTAATGGGGCCTCCTACTGCCGCTGCACCGCCAGAGCACAATTTCTGTTCTCATCCTGAAGCAAAGTTCTTAACCTGAAGCACGATTTCTGGGTTAGTGGAGTCTGTAACCTGAAGCGTATGTAACTTGAAGCGTATGTAACCTGAGGTACCACTGTAATAACCCTCAGGTTGGTGGGCTGCCTTAAGAAAGTTAAGAAGGAGTGGAGGTGCCTCTATGTCAGGCTGCTGTCAGTGGCTCCCAGCTAGTTGCCCAGAAAAGTATAAAGGCAAGGAAAAGTTTCTTACAGTCCTTTTTTATTTCAAACTTTACAGAGAGAGCCTCTTGGATAATGGCGTTGTCCTGAATGAATCCCCACCTCCTTCTCTCCCACTTCCTCATTCATCATCATCATCTTCTTCTCTACAGGTGCCACTAAATGTCCTCTGTCCTTCGAGCTCTTTGTTCTCCCACTTTTAAGGCCTGCCTGGTTCTGGGAGGTGGTGGATCTGGACAGCTGTCTAATGACAACGTGTCAGCCAGCTACTGCTCTGGCTCTGCCTGCTCCTCTTCTCCCATTATTTCCCAACTTTTCCCCTCTGGCTCGGAGCTCTGACCTTCCACAAACCACTATTGGAAATCTATATTGTCTCCCTCCTCCTCCCTGGAAGGGACAGGATGGGAAGGTGGTCTCCACCCCTCCTCCTCCTTTGCCCAGTCCCTGACACTCTATTCTGGAAGAGAAGATCTTTGTTGGCAGACGGGAACAGGGAGCTCAGGGAGCAAAAGGTAATTCCCTGGTGGTAGCCCCAGAAACAGGCAAAGGAAGGACAGAGATTGCTTTGGATTTACTTGATCCAGTCTTATTGATTCATGCAAGAGGCCCCAGGGGCGGGACATCATCAGCACCTGCCTGGAAATGGTGTAACTAATTCTCCCCCTCCATTGGAGCCAATGAAGGGCAACAACGTACAAGTTAACAGTTAGCAAATGGTCAGGAAAATGGAATAAACTGCCTTGGGAATGCAGTCATACACAGAACAACTGTGTCTCAGGCTGCTGGGCTCATTCTTATATAGAGCTGGGCTAGGGCAGGGCATGGAAAGGCAGGAAGAAAGATGAACCATTTACCCATATATGGACTGGTCGAATGAACAATGCAGCATCCCAGGCCTTGTCAGTGGTCACTGCTAGGATATAGTTTCGTTCCACCTTTAGAACAGGCATGTAGAGTTGTTGTATGTCACATGTCAGTTTACTTCCAGCACAGTCTGCTGGGAACTTCCCTTGTATATAGCTTTTGCCTATGCTGTTTGCTTGGACACAAAGGGAAGCAGACATGTTTTTTCCTTTGTCCTGATGCTGAATAAATGCTTGTAAATATGCTTACATATGCCTCTGTCCGCTACTTCTCTTGCAAAGAGTTCTTATCTCTGCTAGCTTGCCCTTATTATTATTAACTCCTGGAACCTCACACTGCTTGGAGAGTAGAGTGGTGTGCAACAATTTTAAGCCTGAACTGTTTGCGGCTACTTTTCCTGAGGGATCAATGCTCAGTGCATAGATTGGAAAACACCTATGGCTTTTTAAAATAACTTTTATTAAAACAACAACAACAACCAGAAGCCTTTTTATTAGGAATTGTAGGTGCTGATATTCCAAAGGAGCAGGAAAGACTTTTATGTATGCAACAACAGCCACACAGATGCTACTAGCCCAGAGATGGAAAGAAGACAAAGTCCCTACCAGAGAAGAATGGCAAAACTGACCAGAAAGCTCAGGAACTAAGAATACCAAAACTTCAATAAAGAATGGAGGGGAATTTTAATTTACTTAAGAGACCATTGTAAGCAGATAAAAACATTAGCAGGATTGCAATAACACTTGTAATGTAGAAGATATTATGGATAAAATGGAGAGACCTAAAAAGCAGAGACATCACCTTGCCAACAAAGGTCTGTATAGTTAAAGCTATGGTTTTCCCAGTAGTGATGTATGGAAGTGGGAGCTGGACCATAAAGAAGGCTGATCGCCGAAGAATTGATGCTTTTGAATTATGGTGCTGGAGGAGACTCTTGAAAGTCCCATGGACTGCCAGAAGATCAAACCTATCCATTCTGAAGGAAATCAGCCCTGAGTGCTCACTGGAAGGACAGATCCTGAAGCTGAGGCTCCAATACTTTGGCCACCTCATGAGAAGAGAAGACTCCCTAGAAAAGACCCTGATGTTGGGAAAGATGGAGGGCACAAGGAGAAGGAGATGACAGAGGACGAGATGGTTGGACAGTGTTCTCGAAGCTACAAACATGAGTTTGACCAAACTGCGGGAGGTAGTGGAGGACAGAGGTGCCTGGCGTGCTCTGGTCCATGGGGTCACGAAGAGTCGGACACGACTAAACGACTAAACAACAACAACGAGTGTGTAGAAAATAACCTACAACACAAAGATAAGATTTTTATTTGTTGCTATGCCCACTGCTGGCAAGGAGCCCCTGGAAGCTTGAACAGAAGGAACGGTGGCCCCCTAGGCTGATAAAACACCCCCCCACTCCTGGTCTAAAATGTAAATACCCCCCACTTCCAGTCTTGACTTTATTGTCTCTGATGCGGCATGCAAAAATAAAAATGTCTCTGATGCGGCATGCAAAAATAACATTCCTTGGGAACATTATCCAGCATTAAGGGCCAGGAATGGTATAAAAGCAAGTGACTGGGAGTGCTGGAAATTTGAGGTGGCCAAGCGACCAGCCCAGCCCAGCCCAGCCCAGTCCAAGCTAAAACCAGGGGTTGTTCACCTCTCAAGGCCTCTTAAAGGGGTTGCCCTTTAGCTGTCTACCCAGCAGTTTCCACCAAGTTCTGATAAAGAACAAGGGTTATCTAGTAAAACTCCTGCTACTCACTGAAAGAATAGCAAAAAAAATTTCAGCCTAGAGGCAACTGTTGTTGGGAGTTAAATTCCTTTCTGGCTCTGATAACCGGTGGCGACTACAAGCCCCAGAGAGAGCCTCTAAACCGAGGAAGGGAGGGAGAAATGGGTAAGTCTCCTCTACATGAGGAAAAGGAGGAAGGAGGCCGGGCAAGGCAGCAGCTGGTCCTTTTAGAGGTAGCTGGGATGGGCAGCAAACACTCTTGTGGTAGAAATGGCATTGGGTAGCGTAGATGGATAAAGCGAACTCCCTTAATATGCTTTGTAAGGAGAAGAGCCCCCAGCCCTAGCTTGGGTGGACTTGACTGGCTGGTCACCATCTCAAGTTTCTAGCAGTCTCAGTTGCTTGGTTGTGTTGAAAATGAAATTGCCACCAGATGAACAGCTTCTAAAGCCATGTTCAAACCCCCAGTCATGAGCAAACAGTCGACACTCTTAGTGAAGGGCATATTATCACACACAGCTATCCCAGGAATTCCATGACCCATGAACATAGCTTTAAACTAAGGTTACCAGATGTCCCCGTTTCTCAGGGACAGTCCCCGGATTTACAAATCAGTCCCCTGACAAAATCCATCTATTTAGTAGGAAGTTGAAAAGTGTCCCTGGATTCATTGAAAAAAAAATCTGGTAATCTGACTTTAAACTTAACAGTCACAGTTACTGCCATCTTCCAAGGCAGCCTCGATGTTTCTCAATATTGAAAAACATCAACCACAAGAAGAAAAGGGGGAGAGCCATGTTCAAGTGCATCTACACCCAACATATTCCATGGTAATTCAGGAACCACCTGTGGTTTATGTGGTTCCCTTTGATTACTCAAAGCAAGCCTAGCACAAGCGCAACAACTTCCACCCACCTTCTAGTTATCACTGGATATGCCAGCTTGCATGTCAATCCTCTTGCTCTAGCTTTAGTTATCTGAATGTCCTGATGAGTCATAAGTTATGATGAGTCATAAGGATACTCTGTCTTTGAGACACTCTGTCTCCCAAATAAAAGTTTACTTCTAGGTAAAGGTAAGGTAAAGGATCCCTGGGCGGTTAAGTTCAGTCAAAGCGGACTGTGGGGTTGCGGGGCTCATCTTGCTTTCAGGCTGAGGGAGCCTGTGGTCTAAACCATGGAGCCTCTTGGGCTTGCCGATCGGAAGGTTGGCGGTTCAAATCCCCATGACAGAGTGAGCTCCCGTTGCTCTGCCCCAGCTTCTGTCAACCTAGCAGTTCAAAAGCACACCAGTACAAGTAGATAAATAGGTACCATTACAGCGGGAAGGTAAACAGTGTTTCCGTGCGCTCTGGTTTTGTCACAGTGTTCTGTTGTGCCAGAAGCAGTTTAGTCATGCTGGCCACATGACCTGGAAAGCTGTCTGCGGACAAATGCCGCTCCCTCGGCCAGAAAGCGAGATGAGTGCCGCAACCCCATAGTCGCCTTTGACTGGACATAACTGTCCAGGGGTCCTTTTCCTTTACCTTTGCTTTTCAGACCGAGGGAGCGTTTGTCCACAGACAGCTTTCCGGGTCACGTGGCCAGCACAGAGAACAGTTAGCTAACTTCTAGACAACATAAGGAGTCATTTACATGCTAAAAGGGTTTTTGCAGCAAGGACACATCTCTCAGATACTGTGGCCATCCATGCTTTATGAGTGCTTCCCCTGCTTTAAGATGGAAATCTTGTTTTATTACTTCCTGCATAGTAGCTTACCCTTCTGGCTGTATGGCTGCAGTCACTGTCTGGCCCGTGCACTTCACAGATTCAGGTTTGGACTGAATCTCACCCTTTTTAAATGTAATGTTCGTAGTATGGACTGCCTCCATAACTTGATGGAGAATCTGATCATTCCCCTCAGATGCCTCTGCAGAGCCAATTCCACAATTACTATCTTTGAGTTTGAGTTCAGAGACAAACTGTTCAATGGTATCTCAATGTACTGTAGCTCTGCATGGTTCCAAAAGGAATATACTGTTCAAACACCATGTTCTTACAAGGAGTGCCAGTTGTCCTAAATCATTCAAGGACTTCTGCTGTGTCATTGAGCCTTTCATTAGGAAAAATATTGTTGTGAGTTTCAGTGAGGGCGGGGCAGGTAGGGGAGTTGTATACCTGAATTAGACAGTTCTGGGATTTCATACACACACACACACACACACACACACACACACACACACACACACACACATATTTTGGAATATTCATTTAAGCAACCTTAAATCAATGACTTCCCTTCTTCTCTTTCCCTGGATCAGTTTGCTTACAATAAATCCCTTTTTACATAAGATAACCATTCAGTATTCCATTAGTACAGAAATCAAAACTTATCTACACTGTTGAATTTATCTTAATTCTACCAGCATTTTTAAGTGTACACAATTTTCACCCATATATTCAATAAACATTTCCCAATCTTCTTTAAATGTATGTATGTTTGAAGTTTTATTCTGTTTTTAATGCTCTGTTGAAAGCTGCTCAGAGTGGCTGGGGAAACCCAGCCTGGACAGGGTATAAATAAATAAATTCTTCTCTTCTTCTTCTTCTTCTTCTTCTTCTTCTTCTTCTTCTTCTTCTTCTTCTTCTTCTTCTTCTTCTTCTCCTCCTCCTCCTCCTCCTCCTCCTCCTCCTCCTCCTCCTCCTCCTCCTCTTCTTCTATATGTTAAATCTGTAAGCTGTGCATATTCCATCAGTTTAAGTTGCTATTCTTCTTTGGTTGGGACTTCGCTCTTTTTCCATTTGGTCTAACAAAACACGAAGATTTCTAGCCTGCCTAGACTTAAGTCAGAGCCACACCACACATTTAAAGCACTCTTATACAACTTTAGTAGTCATGGCTTCCTATAAAGAATCCCGGGAACTGCTGGTGCCTTTAATAGACTAAGTTGGGGCCACCAACATTTTTGGCTTACTGGACATATCTGTAATTATGAGATAGGGCTATGGGTGCCAGTCACAAAATGGCTGCTGAGCTGCATGTGATGTAACACAAAATGGCTGATTAAGTCATGGCTTTTTTTCAGCCAGAACTCACTGGAACGGAGTTCTGGCACCTCTTAGGTGGGTGCCCTTCCCCATTATAGGAGAACAATGGAGGCATTCATAGTGAGTTTTGGCACCTCTTTTTCTAGAGAAATAGCACTGGAAAGGTATAACACAAAATGGCTGGCATGAGGGGCATGACATAACAAGAAAAGGCATTGGCAGGCAACTGGTGCCTCTGAGCACCACATTGGCAACCCCTGAACTCTGACCAGAAGAGAGTCCAAATTTTTCCTCTTCTTTTTTGGCAATGAGATATATACTGTCTCTAAAAATGGAGATTTGAATTCTGTGTGTGTCTTTGTGGAATGGGCAAGAGCAGGGCTTCCAGCCAGAACTCGCCAGAACTCAGTTCCGGCACCTCTCAGATGGGTGCCATTGCCATTATAAGAGAGCAAGGGAGGTGTTTGTGGTGAGTTCCAGCACCTCTTTTTCAAGAAAAATAGCACTGGGGAGGAGGATCTCACTTGTAATCAGAAGTCTACTGACCCTTAAGACGGAAGTTCCATCTAGCTGTCCTGATAAATAGAAATGAAGAGGTAGCATCACATATCATACCCAGAACAACAAAAATCAGTAGTATAGCCACGCCATCCCTACCTATGACTTACCGAGGTGCATACATGTCACACACCATAATAAGTCAGATGCTATTTTGCAAAACGAGCCTGAAGATTTGGTGGATATATGCTTGTTGTCTTGATAATGATACTAATTTTAACATACTCAGGTATAAACTGAGTATAAATGAGGTGATATTTGAAAGGTCAAGCTCCGCAAAGTTGCCAAAGAGAAGAAGCAAGTCCCAGTGACTGATGGCCAACTCAAAGAACCAGGACTTTGTTTTAAGAAACAATATTCCTTGGAAGGAGAAATGCCACGTTGCAGGACCACGTTGTGTCCTTTTGCCTAGAGACAGAGACACCGAGACAAGGCCAGAGATGATTATCTTTAATTTGTGTAGCCATTTGTGTATTCAAAAGATATACAATACACTGTATCAGTCTGCTTGTCACATGGTATGGGACTAAGTGTAAGAACCTCAGGGACAGATCCATTTGAGGTTGAAGACCTTTGCACAAGCAGCCCAAAGATCAGTCTAACAACCCTCTGTGCTATTAGACTGGGAATCTACTTGGGCAGCCTGAACACAAGGGGTTTATTTCATTAGTTTTACTGATCAAAAGGCCAGTGCTACATGTGCTCATGCATCTGCAGTTGTCATGTGCTCATGCATCTGTAGAAGAAGAGGAGGAGTTTGGATTTGATATCCGCTTTATCACTACCCGAAGGAGTCTCAAAGCGGTTAACAATCTCCTTTCCCTTCTTCCCCCACAACAAACACTCTGTGAGGTGAGTGAGGCTGAGAGACTTCAGAGAAGTGTGACTAGCTCAAGGTCACCCAGCAGCTGCATGTGGAGGAGCCGGGACACGAACCCGGTTCCCCAGATTACAAGACTACCGCTCTTAATCACTACACCACACTGTATACTGATATGTCCAGCTAAATTTTATTCACACCAGTAGTGCTCTGCAAGCAGTTTTTCTAAAAGAAAGGGTATAGTGGAGCTTCATCTATGCCCATTGACCAAACTGGTGTGTGTGTTTGTGTGTGTGTGTGTGTGTGTGTGTGTGATGCTCTGCAAACATCTTTCTTTTGGGAAAGGCATTTGTGGAGCAACTTGCATGGCCTCAGGTGGTGCATAGTCCTATACAGACTTCCAGACTTGCAAGCGGATTCCAGGCTTGCAAACATATATTTCCCCCCCTCGAAGGAAATAGCACAAAAATAAATGCTAAACTTGTGGTTTATTCCACTAGGTTTCCAGAAGCTTGCAAATGCTTGAATGTAACATACAAGTTAACAGTTAGCAAATGGTCAGGAAAATGGAATAAATTGCCTTGGGAATGCAGTCATAAACATAACAACTCTCCTTGGCTACTATATCCCCGCAGAACATGTGTGAACATGTGGTATGATTGAGAGCTCCTGAGTAGATTCAATCAATACTTTATTTTTCAGAAATGATGCCTCGGCCTTGGTTTTCACCTGGAAGAACATTTCAGGATCAAAAAGGGGATTGTCGCACACCATACCAGGTATTATTTTCAAAAATAACAAGTCTCCACTACACTTATCACATGAATTATTTTTAATGTAATTCATTGCAACTTGTATGAATGAGAGAAGGACAGATGGATGTTTGGAATGAAAAGTCAATACCTGCAAGGTTGCCAAAGAGGAACAGCAAGTCCTGGTGACTGATGGCTATTGCAGATCACCAGGACTTTCTTTTAAGGAACAATATTCCTTGGAAGAAGAAATGTCACATTGCAGGACCATTGTGTCCTTTTTGCTAGAGACACGGGGACAAGGATAGAGATGGATCACACTGCCAGAAAAGGGGCACATAATACAAAAGCTCTGCAATCAACATATTCACCCACCTGACACATAATAAGAGATTGAGCAGAGAGTATAAGAACTCTGGAGACAGACCCGTTTTGGGTCGAAGACCTTTGTAGCAACACCTGGAGGACCTGTCCATTGACAGCCATCTAATCAGACAGAGCAGCAGTCTTTGGTAAATATATATCCCTACAGAGCATGTGTGAATGTGATAAATGTTTGAGAGCTCCTAGATAGATTGAATTAATAAAAAAATTCTGAAGACTGGTGTACCATCTGGCCTTGGTGTATGTGCATTGCCCCTTTGATCCCAGGTTGCCCTCATGACAATGATTAAGTGATAGAAAATGTAAAGGGGGAGAGCACAGATGATCACCTCTGGACACAGTCTTGTTGGAGTCAGGGAGGTCCTAGGAGACTGGACTGAGGAGGAATGGTGGAGACCGCCCCCCCTTCTTCTGCCCTTCCAAGAGGAGACAGCATAGATTTAGAAGAGTGGTTTGCAGAAGGTAATAATTCGGAGGCTGCAGAGGGGAGAAGCTGGGAGATACTGGATGACAAGCAGGAGGAGGAAAAAGAACTAGGGGAGAGACAGCTGACAGACTCAGTGTCTTTAGGAAGCATTCCTGAACTCCCCTCTCAGGTCCCGGTGGGCTTTGAGAGTAGGAGAACAGAAAGCTCAGAGGCAGAACACACAGATTAGCTGATGTAGGAATGATGTATAATAGGAGTGACGGAGGGGTGGGACTTATTTGGAGCAACACCATTATCTGAGAGGCGACATCCTATGTCTCTGTGAATATTGAATAAATTATCTTGGTAAGAACACCTTGTTTTCCCATTTCTGGCAGCCAGCCATGAGGGAGGGGGGATCGGATTCCCTGAAACCTGACAGGTAGACATAGTAGACTTGGTCTCTCTTATTTCCCCTCTGATCTTGGGTTGGATTCAGGATATACATATTGTAGAGAAAAATACCCCATTGAGGGACAACCTAGGGCTTTCCCTTTGCTGGGTTTGCTACTGTGTAATGGGTGAAATGGCCCTACAAGATTGCCAGCATGCACTGTTTTCCTCCTTGTGGCACTACATTTTAATAATAATAATAATAATAATAATAATGATGATGATGATGATAATGATGCAACATTTACCTTCCAGTTTGGATTAAAAAAAACCTCTCATACATCCACACGCTGACATGATCTTAGTTTTTATTCGAAAACAGGACATAACTATGTCAACTCAGGTGTTCCCCCCATAAATGAATATTAAAGAGATTAAGCATAGCAGCGTTCAAATATCTGAAGGGCTGTCTCAAAAAAGATAGAGCAGACTTGTTCTCCCTTGCACCATAGGACAAAGCTAAATGGGTGGAAATCTCAGGCGAGTAGATTTTAGCTGAAGAATAGGAGACAATCCACAAAGGTATGAGTTCTTCGACAATGGAGCAAAATGCATAGGTATATAAGCAGAGGCTGGATTATTATCTGCTGGGGACAATCAGAGATGGTGTAGATTCCTGCCCTGAGCAGTTGGTCTCCAAGTTGGTCTTTCCAGATCTTAACATTCTGTTAAGTTCAGGTTTTCTTTTCTTTCTTTAAGCTTCTCAGTTCATGGAAGTTCAAATGTGATTATAGGATATAAAATATTTATCTCTCCTTCCTTCCTTCCTTCCTTCCTTCCTTCCTTCCTTCCTTCCTTCCTTCCTTCCTTCCTTCCTTCCTTCCTTCCCACATTGGCTGAATGGCAAAATTGACAATACACCGCTTGAATTGACTGTACATTCCTCTTTTCCAAAAGGTCAGTCAGAAGATGGGATTTGTCACCTACTTCAGCCTTTGCCTTCTTGGAATCCTGGTCTCCAGTCCTGGTGAGCATTTTAGCAAACACCTGAGAATTTCCCAGAAATCTTCACTGAAAATAAGCAGTCATGAGAACGAAAGTACTTAGTGGATTTTCAAGAGTTGGCAACCCAGCTAAGCTTATTAGAACACGGAAGCAGGAGAGTTTAAATTAGACATAATTTATCGGAGTTGGTCAGCGGAATCCCTGATCTGGACCTTGTGCAGAAATAAATGAGCTTTCCATCCCAAGAATTAGTTTCAAAGCTTTGCTGCAGAGCAGTCTAAAAACTAGTAGCATATAAATGTTACAAAGAACAAAAATACAAAGTTACACATTGCACTCAAGTAGCAGCAATGCAGTTCAGTCTTTTTAAATCCTTTAATACAGTCCAATCTCAGAGACATACTCCATTATGCTGGAGGCTCCTTCTCCCAACACGCTGAGCTGGCAATCTCTCTGCTGGCTTCCCACAACACAAAGATATTGAGTTTCTCAGGTTTCAACTTCCTGCTGATGAGGGATCTACTTGGGTTTCCAGAGAAGTGTGATCAGGTAAGCCAAACCCTCTTAAATGGAAAAACACCAGCATTCCGCTTTCAGCTAGAGTGAAACCTCTTGCTTAATGCAAACTTCCCTGCTTTGCAAATGCAAACATTTACAGACGTTTAAACTTCAATGCATACATTTTATGCAAATTAAACTTCTAATATTAACAAGATCTCTAGTCACTGGTTTCTAAATAACTTGTGCTTTCTAAATGGAATCACCAATGGTATACGTAATGTCGCACTCAGAACAACATGCTTACTGTTTTAATCCCTTATTTCCCCTCATTTCCTTCTCTCTAAAACAGCCAAGGCTGCCTGTCCCAATGGATGGCTGCAAAATCAGGGCAACTGCTATGCATATATTGAAAAGATGATGACATGGGCTGATGCTGAGGTAAGAGGAGTTTCTCACCAACCAAGGCATAATACAATGAGAAAGGCAATCAGCATGGGCAGTCCCATGACAATATCTAGCCGATACTTTTGAATTAACAAAAGAGGGCTGACCACAAAAGGAAGGGAACTCAGCTGATTAGATGGAGTCTGATCATCTGAGTTGCAGAGCTCAAGCAGAAAGAAAGCAGACACAGAGGCGGAGCTAGGTGCTCTGGCACCTGGAGTGGCACACATGCTGTGCACCCAGGGGTGGGGCTAGCCATGTGCATCCCAGGGGGCTAGCCATGCTCAGGGGCTAGCCGCCAACCCGTGACTCTCCCCTAAGCCGTCGGGGGAAGGGGGAGAGCTGTGCCACTTTGCTGGCGGTCTTCCCCCTTCATATTGACAGCTCAGGAGTTGGGGGAGGCTTGGGAGCCATCGCGGGCGGCACACCAAATGTCACCCCCCTCAGGATGACACCTGGGGCGGATCGCCCCCCACGTTGCTCTTCTACTGAGCAGGCATTCCAAAGCCAATCCTTCAAGGTCAAGTTTCATTGTATATATCCAACCATATGTTCTCTTTCCCTGAAATGTTTGTAAAATTGCAAATAAAGATGCTTCTGAATCTGGGGTTGTACAAAGACAAATTTAAGGCTCTTCCAGATGACCTATCCATTGGGTATTCATCCTGATTCTCTTGCAGTTTGCATGAGGGTTGGGTTGCATATTTTTCACCCATTCATTCTGATTTGTTTGCAGGGAGATTATAGAACACTGAATATTCATCTTGAGTTGGTTGTGGGAGTGTTTATACATCTTCCAAAGATCCCATATTTTTCAATCCACTTCCCCATCACTTTCCTAGCCACAATTCTTTTTTGTTTCTTTTTAGAAGTAGATTTATTGTGCCACGATGATGCTTTAAAGCACTCTAATTGTGCAAACGTAACATTTTCTGGTATGTGCTTAAATTCCTCCAGCAAAATACTGACAGGCTCAATAACATTGTATCACACAAGTTAGTATGGGACAGCATTGCCTTATAATATTCCGGGGAGACCTGTTCATCTTAAAAATACTCAAGAAAGTCTAATTCAGAAAATATTAAAAACTTTGATGCAAGGAAATAGATCTGACACTGGCAAGCTCCAACTCTGCAATAATCTTACTGGTGAGATATGATAATGGTAGCAAAGCTTCTCTAATTCCTTTTCCATTTTTAGGTTGACTGCCAGAGCTATGGCCGTGGGGTCCATCTTGCCTCCATCCTCAATCAGAAAGAATGTTCCATTGTAGCCAAGTACATCTTAGCACAACAGAAAACACGCACAGATGTCTGGATTGGACTCTATGATCCTTTGCAAGTGAGCTGCTTTCACATAGCTTGTTCCTGATTGTCATCAGAGATGGGGCTCTTTAGCAACGCAATTATCTCAACAATTTCCTAGTCTGAACTCCATACACAAATTCTCCTTTATTTTCTATGGTGGGATGGGGTTCTCCTCAAATGTCTCCGCCATAACAAACAGTAATTTCAGGTTGGTCAAACTCTTCCGTTTTTGTGGTGGGCTACTCTCTTCTTTCAAACATGAGTCTGACCAAACTGCGGGAGGCAGTGGAAGACAGGAGTGCCTGGCGTGCTCTGGTCCATGGGGTCACGAAGAGTCGGACACGACTAAACGACTAAACAACAACAGCTCTCTTCTTTAATCACACAATCTCTTCCATCTCATTCCTGCAGAACAGGAAGTGGAAGTGGGCGGATAATTCTCCCTTCAATTTCGCAAGCTGGAATGTAAACCAGCCAGGCCTGTTTGTTCCAGCTGCAAATAAGTTTTGTGTAGAGCTGAAGGAACAGAAAGGTAAGCAAGCCATTTGCAGGAACAGATAAAAGGTTTTGGATTGTCCACTACCTCCTGCTTTCTCCATCAGTTCCAAACTTTTCTTAGGGTTGTTTCTGACTAAATCAGGGTTTCCCAAACTTGGGTTTGCAGCTGTTTTTGGACTACAACTCCCACCGTCCCTGACGTCCTGCTAGCTAGGGATGATGGGAGTTGTAATCCAACAACAGCTGGAGACCCAAGTTTCGGAAACCCTAGACTAAATCATAATAGAAATATGCATGAAGCATAATTTGCTTTGTTCATTGGTCTGTACGTTTTGCTGAAAGCTGCTCCTGCTGGAAGACAGCAAATATCCTCAGCAGGGAAGATACAGGAAATGTCTTACACTCCTCCTTTTTGACTGCATATCAACTGTGATTAATTTACTGGTGTCCTTAGTAACAGCAGCACCTCCTTAGAACATTGTCTCCACATTTCACTTTCTAACTTTTTTTCCAGATGTCTGTCTGACTTTTTTTTTAACTGAAAGCTAAGAGACTGATAGGGTGGGGAAAGGAGGAGTGAACTTGAAGATAAATTAGTAATGTTACAAAATTCTGCCTCAAAATGAACTTAATTATGGAAATTCAGGTGCGGGGATTATGGGAATTCAGGTGCAGTTCAGAGATTTTTGAAATAATTCATTGAACTTTGTTCAATTGATCTACCGGTAGTTCATTCTAAACACTGAAACAAACCAATTGGGCTCCCAGTTCTTCCATTGCAGCAAACATTTGCAGTTTTTGAATTTGGTGCCTTTTTCTGTTTCCCTGAACAGTGATATAAAAAAGGTGCAATATTCAAAAAAACGCTGAATTTAGTAGCATATTTAGGATCAGGAGTACACTTCGAGTTTGATGTCTGGAGATTAACAGGTGGGCCACCCACTTCAAGTGACCTACAGAAGGTGGGCCTCCTGGATGGATCTGAATCTTCCTGTTTGCTCTAGACCACATGGAACAGGTCGTTAAATAATGAGCAACAAGAAATAATTTGTGCCATGTCTTTTGAGTTTTAGATTTTGAGAAGTGGAATGCTGTTACCTGTAAAGAGAAAAATGCCTTTGTCTGTAAACAATCATCCTAAAGAAGATTGTAGTTCCCTTCGCTGGACTCTAGCCCGCTGGAAATCTTTCTGATCTCAGTACCTCCTCTTCCAGTCCTCAAAGTGAAAGAGGGGTTCTCATTCATCACTTAAAAAATGACCATAACTGAAGAGCTGCCACTTTGGTTCCCCTCTTCTCCACAAATTTTTATTGTGCCTACACCCCACTATGAACTTAATAAATTCTCTTGGATGCACATATTTCCTGGTGTGTTTCTGTCCTTCGCAATCCACTCAGACTGCTCTAAGATGATCATCCAAGAAATATATGGGAAGTTGGCTTATACCAAGTCAGACCATAGGTCCATCTAACTCAATAATAGACACATTGAATGGCAGTGGATTTCCAGGTTCATTCAGACAGGGGACATTCTCTGTCCCACCTGTAGATGCTGGAGATTTATCTTGGGACACCTAAGGTGGACTGCAAGGGTCTCCTTTCATAAGTGTGAAAGTACAAGAGAACATTTCACTAGATGGTGCTTCGATTGAAGCAACCCTACATTGCCAGCTGCACCTATGCAATTTCCTGTCCTCTGTGGCATACACACTGTACCACAAACATTGACATCTGACACCAAGGTCACTTCAACACCATACATTTAAAGCACTCTTTACATCACAGTTATAGCTTCGTCCAAAGAATTCTGGGAAATGCACTTTGTTAAGGGTGCTGAGTTATTATGGATGGTGGCTAACAGATTGAGGTTGAATCCTGACAAGACAGAAGTACTGTTTTTGGGGGACAGGAGGCGGGCAGGTGTGGAGGATTCCCTGGTCCTGAATGGGGTAACTGTGTCCCTGAAGGACCAGGTGCGCAGCCTGGGAGTCATTTTGGACTCACAGCTGTCCATGGAGGCACAGGTCAAATCTGTGTCCAGGGCAGCTGTTTACCAGCTCCATCTGGTACGTAGGCTGAGACCCTATCTGCCTGCGGACTGTCTCGCCAGAGTGGTGCATGCTCTGGTTATCTCCCGCTTGGACTATTGCAATGCGCTCTACGTGGGGCTACCTTTGAAGGTGACTCGGAAACTACAACTAATCCAGAATGCGGCAGCTAGACTGGTGACTGGGGGCAGCCGCCAAGACCATATAACACCGGTCTTGAAGGACCTACATTGGCTCCCAGTATGTTTCCGAGCACAATTCAAAGTGTTGGTGCTGACCTTTAAAGCCCTAAATGGCCTCGGTCCAGTATACCTGAAGGAGCGTCTCCACCCCCATCATTCTGCCCGGACGCTGAGGTCCAGCGCCGAGGGCCTTCTGGCGGTTCCCTCATTGCGAGAAGCAAAGCTACAGGGAACCAGGCAGAGGGCCTTCTCGGTAGTGGTGCCCGCCCTGTGGAACGCCCTTCCAGCAGATGTCAAAGTGATAAACAACTACCTGACATTCAGAAGACATCTTAAGGCAGCCCTGTTCAGGGAAGTTTTTAATATGTAACGCTGTACTGTTTTAACACTGATTGGGAGCCGCCCAGAGTGGCTGGGGAAACTCAGCCAGATGGGCGGGGTATAAATAATAAATTATTATTATTATTATTATTATTATTATTATTATCCTCACAGTGTGGGATAACCAGTCTTCTATAGCCACATTTTTGCACGGCCAGATCTAGGAAGAGATTTATATGGAGCAGCCCCAATGTTTTATCAAACCAAAGTGCATCTAGTATGCAAACTTCAGAAGGGGCTTTATGGATTAAAATATGCTGCTGGAGCATGGAATGAGAAACTATAGAGCATGCTCAAAGAACTGGGGTACACACAAGGTCATGCAGACATGTGCGTGTAAACCAAGTGCAAAAAATGAATAGTTTTCTTACGTTTTGGCATTTGTGGATGATCTAATGATTGTAACTGAGAATAACCAAGACTATACAGAGGTTGTGGAATACCTGAGCAAAGAAATACAGTCGTACCTTGGAATTTGAACGGACTGCGTTCCAGGAGTTTGTTCGACTTCCAAAACAATTTGGAAACCAAAGCGTGGCTTCTGATTGGCTGCAGGAAGCCGCAGAAGCCCTGTCAGTCGTTCAGCTTCCAAAAGAATGTTTGAAAACTGGAACAGTCACTTCCGGGTTTTGATCGTTTAGGAGCTGAAATGTTTGAGAACTAGGCTATTCGAAAACCAAGGTAGAGCTGTAGAGGTAAAGGAAATGGGAACTGTTTCTTTCAAATAGTGAGAGAAGAGCTTGGATCTTATCTCCTAAGTCAAAGGCAGAAGGTTATTGAACAGCCTAGGGCTGAAAGAAACCAACCAGGTAGCCACTCGAATGGTGACTGATTTTCTAGAGGGTAAAGATGAATCTGAACTCTTGCCAGACAACAGTCAGTACAGGTCAGCTGCAGCACAGCTCCTGTACTTGTGTGGTCAGGCACCCCACCCTCATCGCCCGACTTCCAGAAAGAATCAGACAGGACAAAATTACCTTTTGGATTAAATCAGGCCACAACTTTATTGATTACAGATGTAAGAGGGCCAGCCCTAGTCCAAAGTAAGACCCTCCGCATTCCACCAGCATTGAGTGATTTTCATTCTAGCTGCCACACACAAAAAAAGCTCCATAGGTTTTTATGTGTAATCTTGGAGGTTTATCTTCCCATAACCCAAGTAATGCCAACATAAGAGACATAGTAGCATTTGTATTGAAAATGGGGCTTATTTCTCTGAACGCATTGGGCGAATAGTTGAGCATTCAACTACGACTCCACCACAGATGAAGATAAGATCCTTGAATCATATACCCCCTTCAGCAGCTGGGGTCTACATTATTAGTCAGGCAGGACAATCTTGGAGGTGTGGAGATACCATCTCTGAAGAAGCCTTAGCAAAGTTTCCCTCATTTTAGCTGACACTGATTTTAACAGGCTCTCAAATCTCCTTAGGATTTGACACCACCCACAGATAAGCTTATTTTGTGTGTCCTGTCCTTTTTTTAATTCCTTGAGTCAGATCATTTTCTCTGATCAATGCAGCCAAAGCTTCCTATAGTAGAGAGAGAGCAAAAAGGAGAGAGGAAAGGGGACAACCTTGCTTCCATTTGGAAAGAGATCTGAATCAATGTTGTTCATTCTCACTGTCGCATGGTGCTCATATACCCATAACACAGATATGATTACATATCCACACACATCCTGCTAAAAACATTCCTGTTTAGACAAGCCTACTCATATGCTTAGATAATGGTGGAAATTTTGATCTGTTTTGGTATTTTAACTTTTGTATGTTTTAAAGCAGGGCTGTAAATATTTCTTGATTTCACTGTTTTATCTATGGTAAACTGCTTTGAGGTTTTTCACAATCTAACGGTGTATAAATTTTTACGAAATAAATAAACTCTCTCAACCAGACTTCCAACCTGTAATTTACACCAAGCTGCATTACAAGGGATGTTAGAAGCTGTTATCTCTCTCCCAAGTGTGGATAATTGCAAATAACTGTTGGAAACCACAAGGTCAGCCATGTCCCATGATCCTTATCAAAAGTTGCGCAAATGCTTTTGGATTTGTATAGCTGCAACTATTTCTTAACATGGGTGACTTGGCTATAGTGGTAGACCAGGCATGGCCAACCACATAGTTGGCTTGCACAATGAGCTACAGTTGCTCAAGTCCCTTCTTTTGCAGGACACTGTTAGATGTGCAGGAGCCCTGCCACCTTTTGCCTCTGGCCACCCTTGACACTGAATAGCAGGGCCGGCCCAAGATGGAAATTACCAAAGGTAACCTCAAGTCACAGATGTTTTCTTTTCTTTTTTTGTTAGATCATTTTTATTAATTTTCCAATAAAAGACATCCAATTGACATATCAAATCATAATCCAAAAAAACTAAAATAAAAAAGGTCAAATGATCTTCCTAATTGTAATTTTTAATTTTATGACTTCCCATAGTCTGAAACTTGAAGCATGTTCAAATCTCATCGATATTTCCATATTTCCACATCTCGATTTTAACTCTACAGGTATTTTCTTTTCTTTTCTTATTTTTGAAATAATTTTTATTTGATTTTACAATTATAACAATACAAAATACATATCCATATTTGGAGATTTCTCCAAATCTCTAGACTTCCCACCTTTCCCTCCATGCGTCCTATTATAAACCTTTTCAACTGAATATTATCTCATCATCCAAATTTTAGGTCTCTCCATTTTATCCATAATATCTTCTACATTACAAGTGTTATTGTAATCCTGCTAATGTTTTTACCTGCTTACAGTGGTCTCTGAAGTAAATTAAAATTCCCCTCCATTCTTTATTGAAGAGTGTTTTTAAAATGTTTTTTAAAAATTTTCTTTTGGATTTTTTGTATGTGGGGGGTGGGGGTGGGCTGGATGTTTGGTTGGGCTTGGGGAATTATTTTTTATTTTGATGTTTTTGTAATTTTTACATTTTTTTGTTTGTATTGTTTTATTGGTTTTGTTTGTTTGTTTAAGGTTTTATTCTGTTCTTGGGGGGAGGGGTCAGGGCTGCCGGGGAGTAGGCCCCAGCCCACAAAAAAAATGGTTGATGATCTCCGGCGGGCTATATAACACCGGTCTTGAAAGACCTACATTGGCTCCCAGTACGTTTCCGAGCACAATTCAAAGTGTTGGTGCTGACCTTTAAAGCCCTAAACGGCCTCGGTCCAGTATACCTGAAGGAGCGTCTCCACCCCCATCATTCTGCCCGGACGCTGAGGTCCAGCGCCGAGGGCCTTCTGGCGGTTCCCTCATTGCGAGAAGCAAAGCTACAGGGAACCAGGCAGAGGGCCTTCTCGGTAGTGGCGCCCGCCCTGTGGAACGCCCTTGCAGCAGATGTCAAAGTGATAAACAACTACCTGACATTCAGAAGACATCTTAAGGCAGCCCTGTTCAGGGAAGTTTTTAATATGTAACGCTGTACTGTTCTAACACTGATTGGGAGCCGCCCAGAGTGGCTGGGGAAACTCAGCCAGATGGGCGGGGTATAAATAATAAATTATTATTATTATTATTATTATTATTATTATTATTATTATTATTATTATTAGAGTCCTCACAGTGTGGGATAACCAGTCTTCTATAGCCACATTTTTGCACGGCCAGATCTAGGAAGAGATTTATATGGAACAGCCCCAATGTTTTATCAAACCAAAGTGCATCTAGTATGCAAACTTCAGAAGGGGCTTT